AATTAAGTGAGGAGATGCATCATTTTTGTTCAATGTCTGTGCACTACAAGGTGTTCATCATTGTATTCCCAGACCTTGGCCAGAGTGGACACTGGACATCTGTAGAAGGAATAAACAGTGAATAGAGATAGCTTCTCAGAACAGGTCGGGAGCTGGGCCATGAGGCATTGACACAATCCCATCATCAGACTGCTAGAGTAGGAAAAGCCTAAACTGAGAGTCAGGATTCTCCTTTTTTTTTTTGAGATGGGGTCTCATGTAATGCAGGCTGGCCTTGAACTCACTTATATACCCCAGCTGGCCTCAGACTCAAGGCAATTCTCCTGCCTCAGCCCCCTGAGTACTGGGTTACAGGCGTGTAGCACTATGGCTGGCAGGATTCGTGTTAGACACTGAGTCATCATTCCCTCTTCATGGAGGTCTAAAGGAACCAGATGCAAGTCACATAACCACACAAAGGAATGTGAAATTCCAGGTGTGGTAAGAGCTATGAAGAAGGGTTACACAGAGTGATGTGTCTATGCAGTAGTGAAGACTGAGTTACAGAGACAGAAATGGTTTCTCTGGCCATTCTCTGGCCAGGAGATGACCTGGGTTTTTTTGTTTGCTTGTTTTGTTACTTGAGACAGGGTTTCACTATGCAGTTCAAACTGGCCTTGAACTCATTTTGTAGCCCAGGCTGGCCTCAAATTTGCAGTGATCCTCTCGCCTCAGCCTCCCAAGTGCTGGGATTATAGGTGTGGGCCACCACACCCGGCTTCATTTTTAAATTGAAGTATGGTTTCAGTGAGTTTTGACAAATGTGAACACTAGCATAACCATCACCCTTGTCACAAATTAGATTGATCACTCTAAACCATTCTCTTAGGTTTCTTCCAATCTCCTTCCCACCCCCCCAGGAAACCACTGAGATGGCTCTCTCTGCCACAGAGATTAGTTTTGTCTCCTCCAGAACTTTGTATAAATAGAATTACACACTATATACACTTTTCATGATGCATTATTTTCCTGAGATTTGTCTGTTGCTGTAAGTTCCAGTAGTTAATTGTTTTGTTCTATTCCTTCATATAAATATTCCAGTTTGTTTATCTACTCACCTTTGATGAATACCATATTCAGATTGTTTCTTGTTTTGGCACTTATGAGTACAACGGTTATGAATAGTGTTGTATAAATCATTTTGTGGACATGTGTTTTCATTTCTTTTGGGTCCTGCCGATAACACGTGTAGAACTGCTGGTCATAGATAAGATACATATTTATGCTAAACTGCCAAACCCTTTCCCAAGGTAGAGCCGTCACTTTTCAATGCATGCTAACTGTGTATGACAGTTCCAGATGTACCACATCCCACCATGTGGTATTGTCAGGTTTTAAAAATTATTAAATTCATACATAAGAAGTGGTACTTCATTTGGGTGATAATTTTCATAATAGGAATTATTGGAAGATGACATCTTCGCTAAGTGAAGAGGATGGAATCTTGGGCATTCTGGAAAAATACAACACAATCCACAGAGGCCCCCGCCAATGTAAGAAGCAGCAAAGCAATCACAATAATTGAAAGGGAATGTGATGTGGAGCGAGGTTGCAGCAGGGGTAGTAACAGCTCTGAACCACATGGTGGGATGTGGAGCAACTGGAAACACTTTCAAGGGATTGTAGGGGTAACCAGTGGTGAAAAGTTAGTAACAGCAATAAAAGTAAATGTCCTGGGCTGCAAAAAAACCCCAGGAATTTCATACAATCTTGAGAAAATAATGAGAAAGATTCACAATGACCCAATTGAATTTATGTCATCTCAGCAAAAAGTATTCAGAAAATTTGACATATAAGGTAGAAATGAGACCTTTCATATACAGTTGCAAACTTATACTTACCACATTAGAAAGAGATTCCTGGGTGAGACTGAGCACTCTTCTAAGGCCTGAAATTGTGAATTTAAAGTGAAGTCATTCTTCTTATTTATGTTGTTTTTCTCTGGTAACAATCAGCTATCCAGTGCAGGCCTCAAACCTCCTTCCTGATGGTAGTACTCAGCCAGATTGTGGTTTTCCCAGGAAAATACTGGCAGCAAGGGAATGGATATAATGATGCTTCATGTGCTCTAAACCAGGAGGGAAATGAAGAAGGGAAAACAAGAAGCTGGTGGATTTGTAGATTAGAAGTCTCAGTAAGTTTGAAGACATAGCAAATGAGGTGCTAACAGAAGGAACAGAAAGGCTAGGTAGAGTTGAACAAAATTAGAGCTCTTCTAGAGGGTGACTAAAGTGTTCAGGTGTTTGACCTTGGAAGGAATGGTTCAATTGAAGAGAAAGTTGTTGGAAATGAGAAAGTAAAAGAACTGAAAGATCAGAGTATGAACAGGTCATTAACATGTATCCTTGAAGTTCAAGGATGATGCTGGGAGTTGGAAGGGGCAGGGGAAAGATCACATTGACTGGGAAGTCAGAAGGATAGATGGTATGGTATAACTGAATGGCAAGAGCTTTCAAGTTGCAGAGATCTTTGCAAGAGGAAGAGGAAAACCATTAGTAAGTTCAAGGTCAACTCTAGGAACACCACTAGTACATCTTCTAGACTGATGCTCTTCCAATGGCCAAGTGAACCACACCAAACCTTGTCAGCCTTTCAATGGCGACGGCTTTATTACAGATATCTCCACCAGGGGGCGCTACCAACTTTGGAACATCAACCTGCAAGACAGGAGTCTCAGCCTGAGCTCTGAGGACCTCTAGGGCTCTTCTGAGGTATTGCCAGGAGCTCAGACATCCTCTGGCAAAGGAAGACTTGTGAGAATTTTTAAAACATATGTAAATCTTAACAAAACAATCTATATTTCTAAAAGAAGTTATTGAATTATTGTAAGGTTTTACTTATTCGTGTGTTTTCTAAACTACAGCTACAGCTATGATCTGGTGGGATTTAGTGATAAAAATATCACCAAAGAGTAAAAGAGTTTCTCACAATCGTATTTTTCTTAATTGGTAACATCATGAAATTTTTTTAATCCATCACTTTTGGTAAGCATGATACCCTGGAAAGAATTCAGGGTTGGAGTTAGTCGGATGATGATGCTAGCTGTAGTAACATTATTACCAACATCAGCGTGTTTAGTATGTACCAGACACTGTTTTAAACATTGCACATACATTTTGTTCTTTTTTTTTTTTTTTTTTTTTTGGTCTTGTGAGGTTGGAACTATCATTAACCCCATTTGACAGGTAAATAAGAACCAGGCCACATAACTAGACACTAGAGGTGGTGGCAGGGGTGTTTTGGAAGAACTGGAGTTGCATCCTTTGCTAACTAGGGTAGGCCTGGCAACTGCTCAGTCTCCGTAGTTTACTGTGTGGGTAAATGAGAAGGCTCAGTTTATTATGGTAACTGGAGGACCATAGCTTCATGTTGACACATACTCACCATCACAATTACTGATCATTAAGATGAAAGAATACACAACCCTGTCTATGCCAAAATGAAAGGCTTTTTTCTTGAAAACGACATCATTTCTCATAAATATGTCAATTCTCATTTTATAGGCTGCAATAAATTGCAGGCCATCCTGAATCTCAATCATGAACCTAGAAGCAGGTAAACCAGACTAACTGGCATTAACGAATAACACAAATGCTCAGAGATTTGGGCAGGTTATGTCCTTTCAATCTCAGTTTCCCTATCCACAATAAAAACCATGATCATTTCAGGAGGAACCCTAGTCACAGAGGTCAAATAGGGATGTTTGTTATGGTTATTATGAGGCAGGATGGATGCAAAAACCGAAACTACCATCAGCTGAGTGTCTTGGCCCTATGATGGTCAGCCCTTGTCAGGCTCTTTGTACAGAGCTGTCTGAGGAATGGCCTTTGTTCAGAGGGAGACACAGGTCAACCACACACCCGAGGCTTTGAACAGTACGATTTTCACTTTGACCTATAGCATAATTGTTGTCCTAACCCTTCCTAGAAACCTGTCTGGAACCCACTGGATGTTCATGTTAGCTTGGGAGACTGTAAGAGGTGCCTTCCTACAGGTTTCCCAGCTGTTTTTGAATCAAGTCAGGTTCTGAGTTTCACACCACAGAGCCTCTCCAGGATGTCCGTCATGGTTCAAGGATGTGCTAAGCAACAGAAAACTCTCTTGTCACTCTTGATCAAGCGCACTGCAGGTAGTACAAAACTCTTCAAAAAGAGCATTTCCCCAACTTTCATGCAACCAGCAGTGACCACGGGAAAATCAACATCTAGGGGGCTTTGCTGGCTCCTTTCCTGTGCACAGGTCTTTTGACCCTTCCTCAGTCCCCCTACTGGATCGGGCTACAAATTTATCCAGAGTTAGAACTGTATTTTCCGCACCGTGTTCCAACTATTCAATAGGCGCTCCTGCATTCAAAGGCTTTGAGACTTCACATTAGCGGACACAAGATGATTTCCTGTAGAATTGTATCTATGGAGATGCAATTAGGCCAGTTGAACTTCAGGTCCTGAGAGCCTGTGAAGCTAAAATAAGGCCAAAATGGGGGTGGGGCAGGGGAGCAGGCAAGGACAGGAAAGGAGAACAAGCTGGCAGGGATGCAAACGTTGAGCCGAGAAGGCACAAGGTAACAGAGGCCACAGCAGGCGACACAAGAGAGGACGGCTAGAGGCTTATGGCCAAAGTCCAGAAAGCAGAAAAGGCAGGTTTTTGATGGGGAACAATGACAGGAAAGTGTAAAAGCGGGCGTGGTGGATCAGCTCTGCAGCCAAGGCCTCGACCCACGACCGGGAGGAGAGGTGCAAGGCCTATACCGAGTTGCGAGTATCTCCTCTCTGTTGCAGGCGCTTACGCTCCTCTAAAGAGCAAAGCTGCCGCTGATTCCCCAGCGCACCCTCCCGCGCGAGTGGGCGGAGTCTCACCGCGCCCGTCACGTGGCCAGAAGTGCCTGTGGCACCTGATCTATCCTGAGTTGGGCCAATCACCGTCTGCAGGGGCGGTGACGCCTGGCCCCAGGGGCGGGAGAATATGGCCAGGCCGCGTGTTCTCGCGATGTTTGCTGCTGTCGCCCCTGTGCCGCCCACGGCCGGGAGCGAAGGTCTCGCGAGGCTTGGGCGCTGCGGCGGTTGGAGGAGGACGGGGAAGGACGGAGCCGAGCCACGGCTGCCTCCCTCGCTGACTCCCTCGCGCGCACGCCCACCCCCTCCCTCCCTCCCCTCCCTTCCCCCGCCCCGACCCATTCGCTGTTCTGTCTTGTGCTAGGGAGGATGTCGGGCTCCTCGCTCCCTAGCGCCTTGGCCCTCTCGCTGGTGCTGGTCTCTCTCTCCCTCCTCCCAGGGCCGGGCGTTGCTCAGAACGGTAAGTGAGGCGCCGGGGGCGGGCGGGGGCCAGCGGCGCCGGCGGCTGAGGGCCAGGTCTGAGGGGCAGACGCCACCCGGGGCCTGGAGGGGCGCGGGCCGCCGACCGCCGACGTGGGGGCGCTCGGTGCGACCCGCAATGGCGGGGACTGGAGCGGCTCTGGCGCCGGAGAAAGCGAGAGGAGTGGAGTAGCGGGGGCGGGCGAGGAGGGGACGCAGCTCTTGGGGGAGGTGGCGGGGGACCAGAGTCTGTGTGCTAGGCGTCGGAGGGGTGTCGTCCAGTCTTCCCGAAGTCGAGGCTCCCAGGAGCTGGCGTCGACTGGGATCCTACAAGGACCCTTAAAAATCAGGGAGAAAAGAGGGGAAGGGAGTCCCTGATGGTGAGCTGAGTACGGGAGCCCGGGGAGGGGTAGAAGATCGGGATCCTTGGGTCTGGAGGTGGAGGGAAGGTGGGCAGGAAGGTGAGGGAGTGGGTTGACTGCAGTAGGGGATCTGGAAACAAGCAGCAGTGTCTCTACTCGAGCTGGGGGAAGAGGCTGGGTTTGCCGAACAGGGTGGAGTGCTGGGCGTCCGAGGGTAGCGGAAAGGAGTTTCTAAATAAGGAGAGGAAAATGAGCAGAGGATGGAGAGAAAGGATTGAAAATGAGGTGGGGGAAATACTGGAGAAGTAAGGGTGCTTGGCTATAAGGGGGGGGGTGGAGGAGACGAAAAATAAGGGAAGAGAGTAAAATGCAAGAAGCTGGGGATGTCACGTTGGTTTGCAGTGTGAAGGGTGAGTTTGGGAAACTGCTGTAGTGGGATTGAGGGCAATTAGTAGCGGGAGGGAGACAGAGAAAGTGGATTTTGAGATGTGAAAGTTTCAAGCCCGAAGAAGAGGTGTTATTTTTGAGAAAGATGAAAGTAGTCTTTAGGATATGTACAAGGTACAGTGGAAATGAGGGAATTGAATTTTGAACCAGAGAAATGCTGGGAAGTCCGTCGAGGGGGAATTAAATGAAACATACTTATTAGAAGACAGGTGTTACAGTTCAGTTGCTGATTGTGAACGTGTTTCTTCTACTCTTGTGGAAACAGCTATTGAGGTTTAAAAATATTTTTATGTGCAAAACTATGGAGAGTCAGTACGAGAGAGTGAATCACAAATTATTTTATAATCTGTTTATTACTATGCTTAAACAATGTTAGTCTTTTTAAAAAGGAGTGAACTATATGTGATTTCAATTGAAAAAATCGGTCACTAGAATGGAGTCTTGTATGGAGAACTAGCTTAAATTGCAGAAGATTACAGTAAAAATTTATCACGGTTGAAAAAACTGTTAAATATGTGTTTGTTGTAACACATTGTACTGTTCAAATCTTATGTATACTTTATGTCCTTGGGTCATCACTGCAAGCAAGGGTCAGGAAGAAACATTTTTGTCTCTTACACTGAGTATGGAACTGTACTGGTGCTTTTTTAAAATTTTTTCCTCAAGTGTGAAATCTGGAAGGCAGAATAGAATTAGTCTAATTTGTCTTACCTGTTTTTTAAAATCTGTTTTAATATGAGTTAAGCCTAATTCTGATTTCAGCTACTTGATGTATGGAAATAGCTTGGTTTCATTTTGCACAATAGATGGAAGATCCTTGATTTTACATGTTAAATCTCAGCTGGCATAGTTTCTTTCCAATGATTTATAATATGGTGAAATTGTAGTTTCTTAGCAACTAAAGCAAGGTTTTTGGATAGGCCTACGAAGTCTCATCTGGCTGCTCCCTATGATATGTGTTCTAAATACAGCAGAGAACAGCCTTTCCCTTGAATTCAGTCACGTGACATAACCAGGAAAGTGAAGCTCAGCCTGTTGTTGACCCAAATGAATGTAAATTGAATTCAAGGAAGAAGTGGCTATTTTTTGAGTTTGAGTTTATATAGTTAAGGGTGCCATTTTATTGCTTTTAATAGTATGTCCTATGAAAATATTCACGCTTTCAATTGGTAAGAGCTCTGCAGTGTCTGACTCCATGTTACAATGTAAAGTTTTTCAGTGCTTAGAAAGTGATACCATACTCTCTGATATCAAAATGTTAGGTTAGATGGCCTAATAAAATGATGCTTTAAAAGAAAAGTATTTTTGGATTTGAGAGTGTTATTTAGATGTTTATTTTTCAGAAGACCTCTATTGTCATTCTTAAAATGAATTTGAACCGAGCCACTGCCTTGTCCTCTTGTACTCTATAATGAGTCTAATGGTAATCTCATTGCCGCAGGGATTCAGGGCTTTTGTTCAGATAGATTTTGTTTCCCATCCAAATATTTATACTGGTAACACCACAGTTTCAAGTACAATCATTGTTTGTTGGTTTTTGTATGTATTATCAAAAATATTTATTTTTGTCCAGGTATGGCTGCATACACCTTTAATCCCAGTACTCTGGAAGCCTAGGTAGGAGGATAACAAGTCTGGGCAATTTAGTGAAACACTGTCTCAAAAAATAAGAGTGGATACATAACTCATTGTGAAGATCCTCAGTTCAGTCCTCAGTACTGGGGTGAGAAACTTGTTCATTTTAGCTTGGTGTTTTGGTATGCCTATAGTTCCAGCTACTTAGGAAGGCTGTCAGGAAGATCACAAGTTCTAGGCCACCTAGGCAATTTAGTAAGACCTTGTCTTCAAAACAACAGTAAAAAAAAGTCTGGAAATGTAGTTCAGTGGTAAAGTGCTTGCTTAACATGTCCAAGGCCTTAGGTTTAAATCTGAAAAAAAAATCATTTTAAGGAAATTATAAGCCATTGAAAAACTTCATGCTAAAATCCAGTGAGTGCCAACTACATAATGTAGTGTGATCAAGAGTAACATACACTAATAAAGGAAGAAAAAGAGTATAGGCTTTGGACACTGGTAGAAATGGGTTTGAATTCCAGCTCTATACCTGAGTTTTCTTAAGTAAGGTAAGCACAGTTCCATCTGTAAAATGGGGTTATAGTGATGTCAGTCTCTCAGGGGTTGTGTGAAGATTAAATGAACTAATGGCTGGCTGCTTAGAATTAACCTGGCATAGTGTTTAGTACGTGTTAGTCGTTACTGTTCTTGTCATTTAAAAAGCAGCATTAGCCAGGAATGCTAATGCATGCCTGTAATCCAGCACTGGGGAGATTGAGGCAGGAGAATCACTGTGAGTTAAAGGCTAACCTGAACTGCATGGCAAAACCGTGTTTTGAAAAGAAAAAAAGCATTATTATTTTTCCTTGTGTGTATTGAGCACTTTTTAATGCTTTTGTCATTTTCCATGAAAGTAAATAGGTCAGTTGAAGACCCCACACAGGGGTTGTGCTTTTGCTGTTAGTATAACTTGAAGAAAAGTGACAGCTACACTACTTAACAGCTGTAAATCCTGGTGAAGGAGTTCTTATTTCCATCTGGTTGAGAGATTTCATACATCACCCTGCCCCCAACCAAATATCTTTGCATGTAGGCCGGCTGTCACCTTTTTACAGAATACCGTTGTAATAAAAAAAGAATGTAGTACTTGGCACATAGTGAGACTGTTTTAGATGAATGAATGTGAACTGTAAAATGTTCATTTTAAAAATGTCAAGTTGAAACTGGTGTGGTGGGGCATGCCTGTAACCCCAGCAATGGGAGGTTGAGACAGGACGATCACAGGTGTGAATTTGAGGCCAGCCTGCACTGCATAGTGAAACCTTGTGTAAAAAAAGGAAAAAACTATTTGTATCAAATTGGATAATTAACAGAATTGGAAGATGAGGAATTGAGCAAATTTGACTGTTGAACTAAATTTGAAGCAACCATTTTGCTTGGGTGATACTAGATAGTTGTGAATATTGTGCTTTATACCAGGGTCTGCATTAGATTATCAATCTTTTTCTTTTCTGTCAAGTTTAAGAATTTGCTATTGACTGCATCTGTTCTTTGTGTGGACTGAAATCTCATCTTGGGCACAGATATGCCAAATGTCAGGTAACAGATTTTATCATAATTCAGCCAGATAAGATTTGTCCAGAAGTAGTTTGCTTTGGCATCCAGCCTTTTTTAAAGAGGTCGTGGGCTGTCTGGGCTTTCTGACTGAAGTGTCACCAGCAATACAGTGGAGTGTACAGATATGAAAGTGTTAGACAGGGTCTGAGAAGAAAGGCTACGTTTCTATATCCAGACTTGTTCGTAGGTTTGTTTTACAAGATTACTGGGTCCAGACTGGAATTACAGAACAGTTTTGGAGTTTTCTTTTTTCTTTTGTGTTGGTAGAAAGTTTAACTTATGAATGTACTGAGGCTTTAAAACAAAGGAAAATAAACATGAATGTGTTCCACAGTTCATTTGCTATAAGTTAAGATAGATGTTCATTATAGGTCTGATCTTGTATAAATTATAAACAGCCCCATAAGAAATTAGACTTGGAATGGATCACTTTTTTCTCCTAAATACAGTTTTGACATGAAACATTTTTTCATGTGAATCATGCCCGTAGACATTAATAAAAGGCAACTATTTTGTAGTCTTTTTCTTGTTTTTTAATAAAAATAAGTATTTAACTAATAGGATTTCAAAGATGGCCAGATGTGGCCAGAGGATTTAGCTTGGTGGCACACCGTCTGCCTGGCAAGCTTGAGGGCCTGAAGTTGATTCCCAGTATAAAAAAAAAAAAGACCAGGTGTGACTAGAAAAGTACTCTGTCAGTTTTGGATGGACATTGTTTTGAGGAAGATGTTTTACATGTAAACTTTGAAACTGCTGGATTTGTGTAAGGTTTTTTTCCATCAAACAATGTGGGAAGGAGAGAAGGTGCTTGTATCTATTAAAGTATATAGAAAAACAGCAAATATTGACTACTTTACAAATGTTCAGTGTAAGTCTGAATAAAGTTGTGCAAAGAAATTTTGGAAAAAGAGAACGTTATAAAAATTTTTCTGATGCAATTTGCAATACTATATTTACAGTGGGTACAGTCTGGGCAGGCAGACGTAGAGATGAAGTTGTGAAAAAGGGAAAAGAAGACAGA